TCCCTCCAGTCTTTGACCCTGTGTTCGGTGCAGCTTTTTGCACATGAAACGGGGAACTCTTCAGGTTGGAAGAGGGGAATAAGCTGTACCTGTGGCTGTTTCCCTGCGCTGAGCTCTCGGTGTCATCTCGCTTGGCCCTGCATCTCCAGCTCTAGGTTTTGTCAAAGCAGTGTTGGACCCCACGGGAGGTGGGGCTGAGCTGTCAGCTCTGTCCCAGTGAGGCTGTCACCCCTGGTGCTTCACAGGGAGAAGGAACAAGCAGAGATCGGGGCCTTTCTGCCGCTGGTGCTTAGCCTAGCTGCATTTCTTGAGGAAAAAACAACACAACAAATTACTTCTGATGGACGTCAATCTAATGTGAAATCCAAAATCTAACTCCCTTTTCCAGTGTGGTGCAGGGCAGCGGTGGTGGCATGAGGGCAGTCAGCACATCTCTGCTGGGAGGGAGGGGAGGGCGCAGGAGCCTTTAAACCGCTCGCGCCCCTCAGAAGGTGCCCATTGCCTGTTCCCCTTGAAAATGTTGCAAAAGCTGAACTCCAGGCTAGCATCTGGTCGCTTTTCCCCATGCTGTGGCTGCTCGTGTCTTGCAGAACGTGGAGATGCTCAGCAGCCTGGACTCTGCCTCTGTTCGAATCATCAAGCCCTTCCCCGCCGCGCAGTCGACAAGCCGGCACCAGCCGCTGCAGCCCATCACGGCCGTGCCCGCCGTCGCTGCGGCACCGAAACAGGACCACCAAAGGATGGACACTATCCAGGAGGACCCGAGCACTGACTCTCACATCGATGAGGACGGGTTTGAGAAGGATCCTTTCCCAAACAGCAGCTCGGCTGCCAAATCTTTTGAGGACTTGACAGACCATCCTGTCATTAGGAGTGAGAAAGCTTCGTCCTTTAAACTACAGCGCCAGAACCGGGTGGACAGCAAAGAAACCGAGTGCTAGAGGCTCGCTGCCTTCGGAATGTATGACTTGTGTCTGCAAAATAAGGATCTAAAACCATTTCATTTCTATAAATATAAATATATGTATATATATTTTTGTGAGGGAGTGGGAGAAATAAGGAAGTGACCTACTGCAGATGCTGGTCATTATGTATGACCTTCCTTAAATTACATTTATTAGAGCATTATATCTTTTAAAAAGGAAAATCCAAACTAAAACTGGCTTGTTTTTGAAGCTTTTTGGATTTGTTTTTCTATTTCCTTGACCTTTAACATTTCCTTCAACCTGTGGTGCAAAACCAAATATCCTGCTGGATATTGGATTGTGTATATCAGCCTTTTTTATAATTTAATATTTTGTAGTCTGACAGCACTGACATAGACAAAATTAAGGTGTTTTTAAAAACAAAATGAAAACACTGCAGTGTGTTCCATATAGAGTAGAACATTTAGCAATTTAAGGTACATGTGAGGAAAAGTCTAAACAGATGCCTTGAGAACAGAATGAGAGTAATGAGACAGAAATACAGTCTCAGCATTAAATGAAGATTTGTAATTGGAATTAAGAAGTTTAAGGTATACAGCTTCTAAATAAATAAAAATAAAAGGGTCATGCAGAGGCTGTTAAACCGTTACACAGTGCATGGAAGCCTAACATGAAACTGTTTAGCCTCTAGCAGTGAGGTTATGTTATCCTAGTGTCTCTGTTGCAGAGAAAGGATTTTGTTGGGAGTTTCCCACTCTGCACCCAGAGTTTGTGTGTTGCAGGAGTCTGGGAGGAGAAGGAAGCGTAAGTGGAGAAATAATTTCTGTGGATGAGGACTATTTTAACCAGCTGTTTACAGCGGCTGTTTCAATGCAGAAATGTTGCTCCAGATGTTATTTTGCAACAGGTAATGCTATTGTGGAGATGTTCAGAGAGTTGAGCCTCAGTTTTCAGGGTCTATGTGGCCTTTGGAAGTTCCTACTGCATAAATAAATGGGGCAGGGGGGAATTCACTCCATTGCAGGGGGGGCATTTGTTGGAGGGGAAAAAAAAAAGTGAATTTAATCAAAAAAGAAGTAAGCCTTTGTTAAAATAACAGGGCAAGTAGAAGGAGGAGACTTCATGAATTCTAATTCCCACACAGGTAGTACAATGTGCTGTTAAAGTCAGTAAGTTAATGGTGTCCTCTGGTACAGCTGGAGATCTGTACGGTGAGCTGGGACTGGCACATGCGCGTTGCTTTAGCTGAGCAGCAGATGGACTGACACAGTGGAGTCACAGAGCAACTGTCGTGACAGTAAAGCAGCGTCTGAATTCTGCATCTGTTTTCTCCCATAATCATCTGTTGATAAAACTGACATAAAATGTGACCAAGGGTAGAAGCATTTTAACTGTTACAAGCCTGGGCTCTGTCACAGGGCACAGCAGCTGCGGAAAGGCTCCGCGTTTTTAAATGTGAGGGAAAGGAGCCCAACCTGTGCCAAAGGGCTTGTGTGAGCAGAGCACCCCCTCTCCTCCCGCCCGAGGATACTTGTTACACTAATACTTGAACGTGTGCCTTACGGTATTCCTGTCTGACTAGCTATTGTGTTTTATGTACTGGGTTTGGACTTTGGGGGTGGTTTTTTTTTGTTTTCTTTTTTTGAGTCAATGCAAAGTACACGTGTGAGGAGTTAATTTAATTCCCAATACAGTAAAAGCTTTTTATATTAAAAAAAAAAAAAAAGTTAAACAAGAGCTGTTTCTGTGCAGTCATTTTAGAAAAGATCCAAATTCTGTAGTTGTCAAACCCTGAGTTACAAGTCCAGGACATGGCCAGACCTGAGCCAGTTACTCTCCCTGCTCCCCTCTGAACCTCGGCCCGACCCTGCGCATCCACAGCACAGATCTGCACCCGTGGGGCTGCCCTGCTTCCTACTGGGGACAGCACCAGTCTCACCACCTGTCCTGTGGACTATCACAGAATCATTTTGGTTGGTAAAGACCCTTAGGATCATCAAGTCCAACTGTAAACCTACCACTGCCAAGTCCACCACTAATCCATGTCCCTAAGCACCACATCTACCTGTGTGTTAAATACCTCCAGGGATGGTGACTCCACCACTTCCCTGGGCAGCCTGTTCCAGTGCCTGACAGCTCTTTCAGTGAAGAAATTCTTCCTAATAACCAACCTAAACGTCCCCTGGTGCAACGAGAGGCCATTTGCTTTTATCCTATCAGTTGCTGCTTAAGGAAAGAGCCCAACACCCAGCTTGCTCCATCCTCCCTTCAGGTAGTTGTAGAGAGCAATAAGGTCTCCCCTCAGCCTCCTTTTCTCCAGGCTAAACAACCCCAGTTCCCTCAACTGCTCCTCATTAAGACTTGTACCCCAGACCCTTCACCAGCTTTGTATGGTCAGTTCTGACTGACATTCCCTTCTATCTAAGATATGGTTATGTGTTCAAATGCCTTTTCAGGCAGCAAATCTGCACATACATGTTCTCACCACTGCATTCTTTACTCCTCAGATGAAAACCAGGCAGTGGCAGGTGCCTGGAAGCAGGAAACTAGAGGTTTGGAGCAGACCCTGGAAATCACAGACTCCATCCCCCAATCTGAGCCATATTCCAGAAACTCTGAAATCAGTACTTGCACAGTTTGTTCCCAACATCTAACACAGGAAGATCCACGGCTTCTACGGGGAGCCCCTTCCGCTGTTCAGCCAGTCTTTGCTGTAAGCATTTGCTACAGAAAGGACAGACCAGTTTAATATTTATAAATATTTATAAATCAAACTAGCTTCTGGTCTAGCTCCAGTCACATCAAAAATAACTACTTGTGCTCCAGCTTATAACAAACACTGTTATGTAGTAGCTGACATGTCTTGGACAATTTGTCCCAGTTCCTTAGTGAAGCAAAGGCAGCCTCATGGCGCTAACAAGGCAGGACATCTGGATGCTCTCTCCTCAGTCTCTGTCTCACCCACTGCATCATCAATACATCACCTCAGGCTTCATTACTGGCCTCACCTGTTTTGTGCCAGTGTAACTGTTCATACAGCCCAGAATGATGTGGAGGCTTCTGGCTGCAGTGATGATACACTATTTATTTCTCTTTAATCCATGGTCCAGCAGTATTACTGCGTCTTCTGCTATCTGGCTGCCTAGCCAGTTTCCCAAACTGCTTTTTTATTTTTCCATGCTGGTTGAATTTAATCATGTTTCAGGCATTTTTTTCCAGTTTGTACAGGTAGTTTTGTAGTTTGTGTTCTCTTGGCTAAACACTATAGACAGTATGCAGTACTGATCTGTTACATCAGTTGTTAAGTTATGGATGAAGACCAAAACTCAGAACTGTCTCCTTAACTCAGTAAGTGCAGCTCGGTCAGCAGAGGTGCAGACCCTTTCTACTAGTTTCTTCAAGCTCCAAGCTTCTCAACATGAGCATGAGCAGCACCAGTTTTATTTGACCCAAAACCAACTGCTTTGAAATCTATGTCTGTGTGCAAGAGCCAGCTGTAAAGAAGCTGGTGCCAAAATAAGTTCAACTTTAAAACCTCTGCTGTGAAATACAATATATCGCTATCAAAAGCCTCCCTAAAGCTCAGATAACAGCTTTTACTGCTGTATTACACTCAACTAATCGGGACTGGCATTAATGGCTCTCAACAAACTCCACGCTGCTGCCTCTTGTCAGCTCCTAGGTGTCTAGTAGCTGGTATTAATCAAGGTGTAGTCCCCACAGCTCAGCAAGGGCAGGAACTCCTGAGGGCAGCCTCTGTCCCTGGCTCACAGGGCAGCTAACACTTGTTTTCCTTAAAGTATTCCAAGGAAAGAGCTGCTCTTCCCCAGAGATGTTCACACTACAGGCACAAGCAGCATGCAGACAAACCACCCCATGACACAGCCTGAGTGGTCTCACCTTTATTCTCCCACAGACCAAGGGAAGGGGACAGGGAAGAGCACTGACAGGGCACTCCCCGCTGCCCTGCTCCGCAGGCACGCCGTGGCTGCAGTGTGTTGCTGGATACCAGCTCTTTGCAAACAGACTGGTTTTGTCAGGCTTGGCTGCTTCAGCTCCTCCCTGCAGGGGAGCTCACAGAAGACTGGCCTCGGGGTTCGTGTGGTCCACATCACGCCAGTAAGGAAGCAGTGAAGGAAGAGCAGACAGTTTTTTTTCCAGGCGTGACCACAGTTGTCCTGCTAGAAAGCTGTTGCCTTTTGCTGATAAATGAAGACCATCAGACAAATAGGAAGAGAAATCCTACAGGGGAGGTTAAAACCATGTGTTAATGTATTTGCCAGCTGCAAATAGAAGCTCTTGGGTAAATCATAGAATCATAGAATGGTTTGGGTTGGAAGGGACCTTAAAGATCATCCAGTTCCAACCTCCCTGCCATCAGCAGGGACACCTTCCACTAGACCACCTTGCTCAAAGCCTCATCCAGCCTGGCCTTGAACACTTCCAGGGAGGGGGCATCCACAACTTCCTTGGGTAACCTGTTCCAGTGTCTGACCACCCTCACAGCGAAGAACTTCTTCCTAATATCTCATCTAAACCTCCCCTCTTTCAGCTTAAACCCGTTTCCCCTTGTTTTGTCATTAACTGCCCTTATGAAAAGTCCTTCCCAGCTTTCTTGTAGCCCCTTCAGGTACTGGAAGGCCGCTATAAAATCTCCCCGGAGCCTTCTCTTCTCCAGGCTGAACAGCCCCAACTCTCTCAGCCTTGAAAACCAGCTGGTATATATATACCAGTTTATTTTTCACTGTTTGTATTAAAATACTAAGAGAATGTTCTGATGGCCAAACTCACTGCTATTCATCAGCAAAATCACAGGATTAAGTTGTGCAATCAACAAATTGAGTCTACGGCACTACTGGACAGTCTACTGCACCAAGGAGTGCAGGAGAGAGAAAAGATTCAGTGACCAAACTGGAACTGCCTGCTTGTGGGAGAAGTCTGCAGTCTCTGTCCCACGGCTGAGTTTGGGTATTTGGTCAGAAGCACCAGCATGGTAGCCCTGCAACCTGGTCTAACTTTGAAGTTAGCCCAACGCTGTGCAGTGGGTGGGACTAGGTGCCTCCAGAGGCCCCTTCCAACCTAAACTATTCCATGATTCAAAGTGCAAGGAAAAGGTTATTCACATCTAATGCACTCAGGGGACATTTGCTAAGCAAATATAATGGCCAGGTTGTATTCAGCTTTATTTCTCATAGCCCACTATGAAGCATTCTGGATTGGTTTTTTCCTTCCCCAAAGTGTAACTTGGATATATTTTCTATCATGTCAGGGATAATGCAGCATGACCGGTCCCTCTATGCTAAGTGATGCATTTCACCATTTATGACCATTTCAAAGTCTTTCTCATGACATCATACCTGATTTTTTTGCATCAGTGTCCAGAGGTCAAGTACATCCGTTCCACAGTCCCTAGCAACCTGAACACAGGCCTGGGCGTATTCCCCGGTGGTGGCATTGCGGCGATTTAATTTGTCACCTATCAATCAGAAACAAAGAAAACAGTTAGCAACCGGCACTGATACAGCTTGATTTCAGTCTTCTGTGGCACACACGATGCGTACTGGTTTGTTAAGCCAGCAGACACAGCTGATTACAAACTAAACCCAAAGCACCTCAACTTAAGTGGCTGGAAGCTTTAGCTCGTTCAGTCTCTTCAGGGCACCTTTTGTTTTTGAGGCTCTGAAAATAAGTTTCTCACTAACAAATGTGTAACAAGTGAGAGAGGCAAGAGCAGCGAGCACACAGCATAACGCTTATTTCTGTGCTGCTCACAGTTTTCACCTTCTGGCAAGCTCCAGGTGAAATCAGGGCACAGATTTAAAACGTCACACACCAGCTGCTGGCCGTGTAGAAGAGGGGTAAGTAAATGTACATTTATTTACAAGCTTGCCTCCTGCTTCCTGGATGACATCTGGCATGGTTGTGGTTTTAACCCTGCTGGTAGCCAAACACCACGCGGCCGCTCACTCACCCTCCGCCACCCCAGGGAATTGGAGGGGTAAAGGTAAGGAGACTTGTGGGTTGAGGTAAGAACAATTTAATACTGAAAATTATTACTATTATTAGACTACATACAAATGATGCACAGTGCAACTGCTCACCACCCACTGACCAATGCCCAGCCCGTTCCTGGCTAGCAATCCCAGAGGAGAGAGAGCTTCCCAGCCAAGCCTCATCTATATACTGAGCAGGATGTTGTATGATATGGAATATCCTACTGGCCAATTTGGGTCCATTGCTCTTGCTCTGCTCCCTCCCAGCTTCTTGTACACCTGCAGACTAGCAAAGCATGGGAAGTTGAAAAGTCCTTGATTTCTTATCAACAACTAAAAACATCAGTGTATTATCAATACTCTTCTCATACCAAATCCCATACTAAATCCAAAACACCGCGCCATTCCAGCTACTAAGAAAAAAACGAATTCTATCCCAGCGAAAATGAGGACAGACCTTTAACATCTCCTTGCAGTAGTCTCCTCATTGTGACATGCTCGTGAAACCAGGGTACATTTAGGTGCAAAGCTCTATTAGCACTCATGACTGCGACACTGGTGTGTGCTGGGAGCTGGACACTCGGGACACGCTCAGTGCCAGCTACTGTAATCCAGCAGTTTTGCGTGGACCACAGTGAAACTTTGGGGCAGAATATTATTAAATTATGTTGTTTGGGTTTTCTTTTTAATGGAATCTATAATGCAATTCATCAACTCCTACTCTACTCCCTCCTTGCATCTGATGATTCCCACTTCTTCACACTGCCACCTCTTTCCTCCCATCATGTCTTCTCATCATAAAAATATCCTTGGAAGCCTCACCAGTCCTTCCCCATCGCAGGAGCATGTGCTGGGTCTATAAGCTAAGAGCACCAGCCAAAGGGAGCTCTGGGAATATGGGGGTCTCCTGAGGGACCAAGGAGGCAACTTCATGATTTATCCTGACCTGCACGTACCCACTCAGCCTGCCAACGGGGACAGCCAACAGTGGGGAGCAATGGAGTAGCAGATACTCAGAGACACCAGATCCATCTGCACGTGTGGGACTGACTGACCTGGAGGAGCTGCCCATTGTGTTGGTGAGGCCAGTGCCTACCACCCACAAAAATCCATGGCTAACGGGAGACCCGTGGTGACTGGAAGAGGGTTAACATCACACTCATTTTTCAGAAAGGACCTGGGTAGCTGTCGATCACTCAGTCTCACCTCAGTGCTGGGAAAGACAGTGAGGTTACCTCCTCTTGGGATTCATTTCCCAGCACATGAGGGAGAAGAAGGAACTACCAGCACAAATTTAACAAAGCCAGGTAGTGCTTGACCAACCCAATGGCCTTCTGTGATGAAGTGATGGCCACACAGATGATGAAGAACAGCTCTGATTTTAGTAAGGGCTTTAATTCTGCCTCCCACAGCACTCTCATTTGGAAGCTGAGCTTTCTTTTCATGCCTCTTCTCACACCTGGATGAATGTTCCTGTGAACATCATCATCCTCATGTTTCACATCTCTCCATTGCTCTGATCTCTATCTGACAAAACTAGAAGTAGAACATTTCTCCTGGATACCGGTTAAGTACCAGAGTATCATCCAGATCCCTCCTTACCTCATAAAAAAGATAGCTGTAAGACAAAAATGAATTAATAACATTTATGACAGCTAGGAGCCAGATGAGCAGCATTCATGGTGTGCTCACCAAACAGATCTTTAAAAGGACAACACGGGTGCACGTCCTGCAAACTACGGCTGTAGCAGCTCTACTGGGAGCTGGGAACATGCACCACCAAAGGCTGCTCTCAGCCTGACCTACACCTTACACCCTGTCCAAGGATCTACTACTGTCACATACAGAGTCCTGGCCATGTATATATATATATATTATAGCTGCCTTCCAGTACCTGAAGGGGCCTACAAGAAAGCTGGGGAAGGACTTTTCATAAGGGCAGTTAATGACAGAACAAGGGGAAATGGGTTTAAACTGAAAGGGGAGGTTTAGATTAGATATTAGGAAGAAGTTCTTTCTACTGGTATTACTCTAAGAGTTTCTCTCCTTTTCCACATGAAATATAAAAGCTACCCTGCAGATCACACTGAAAGCCCACATAGCCCACAATCTGTTTTGCACAGTGATCACTGCCACACACCAAAGCCCCCTTAATGCAAAGTCATGAAATAATATAGTCTAATTTAATGCACTTTAAACACAAGGTCACCTTCAAAGTGCTAATGCTTTGACTGAGTGCACAAATCAGTTCATGCAACACTACCTAAATGAGAGAAAACTCTGCAAATACCAAGGTGACAGCTCTGTCTCTACTTGAATCTAACTCAAGAGTCTTTTATAAACGTGCAAGAAGCGGACAAACTGTCCCAATGGAAAAGAGGACACGCTCTCAGGAGGTACAAGCTGTTGCTGCTGGAGTCTGGGGGATTCTGGCAATTTCCAGCAGCTCAGTAACACTAAGTGAGCAGTGCTGTTATGTCTCTATTTTTAGAGTTGGTTTGAACAACATAATGAGAAACCATTTAAACACCTTTTGCTTCTTTTCCAAGCACTTTTATTAGCATCCTTAGAATATATATTCTCTGGGATTTTTTAAAATTTAAAATAAACCTGGCTAGGCTATTACTGCTTATCCAAACAGATGTGAGATATGCTGTAACTATCACAAAATTCTCTAAGACACACGATGCCAGAATTTTTTTCCATTATTCATGTTATTTTGGAAGCTGCTAGGACATGATGTAGTTTGCCTAGGACACCTCAGCAAAAGCTATGTTCTCAAAGGGCAGCCACTGCTGTCAGTTTTACGCTCAAACAGATCAATCAACACTTTTGAAAGGATGTTACTGATTAGTTGGTAGTTACTGCATCAGCTTATCCAAAAGCTAGCAGTCCTTTCTCATCAACTGAAAGAATACAGCTTCACTCCAACACAAGCATGAATCATAGAATCATAGAATAGTTTGAGTTG